GCTTCTTTATTTCTACCGACTGGATGACGAATAACAACTATGATTCTTAGATTGCATTCTTCCCTCATAAACTTGGCTACTCTTGTTTTTTTAATTCGTAGTCCCTCGAGGGTCGCTGTCAAATTCTCTACTGCATCCTGGATTGTTGCGGAAGTATCTTCATCAAAACACTGTACCAAATACGTTTTATGCCTTTCGTCTAATTGGCTGACTGGTCTGTTGGAGCTAAGGTTCGTTTTTTTAGTAAGTATATTTCTTTCAGGGTTGTCCTCATAAGCCTTTTTCCACTTGCGTGCCGTGTCATAATTTACGTTTGCGGCCTCAGCTGCCTGTTTAGGTTTGATAAGTTTCTCTTTCAAAAAATAAAAATATCGCTTACGATCCTCAATAGTATAAACATTGTAGTGAAGAGTCCGTTCTTTTTTAGGAGAAGCTTCCTCCATCGTAATGTCATTTGATATTGGCATTTCAAATTGAATGTCTTTGCTTTTGTTGCGTTTTCGAAGATCAGTCAATTTCTTTAAACGAAAAGATGTTTCTTCAACAAAAGAAGGTGCTTCTAGACCTTTATCATCGCTAATATTTCGAGTACCGTCTTCGTAAAAAAAATTGCATGTTAAACTAAAATATTTAATGGTATATGTAAAAAATGACCAAATAATTTGACCAACTTATTTTCGAAAAAGTTACCAAATGAAATTCGAAAAGTTACCAATTGAAGTTCAAAAAAGTGTCCAATTGAATTTCACATTTTTGACCAAAAACGTTCAAAAACGGGACCAATTTTTTTCAAAAAATCCGACCAATGTTTTCAAAAAAGTGTCCAATTGAGGGCGGACGCACTGTAGTTAAAATTCTAGCCAAAAATAGTAGAAACTGATCGACTGATTCAAGCATCTTTGAAAAATATTAAACCATTGGGACACTTTTGGCGCGCACTGTAATTTCCAAATTTGAAGAAGTTTCTAAATTGAATGACAAAATGGATCGTCAATACGAAATGCCGAAGGATCTTATGAAACTTTTGGCTTCATCTTTCGCTCAACCCATGGACGGCACAATAACTAAAGAGGCACAACAAGCCAACAAGCAAGGTATTACATAAAAGAACTATTGTCGTTTAATCGATAGCCAACTAATTAGTATTGCATTTTTCTTTTTTTTAATTGTCAGCAAACCAAACTGGTGTTGAAACTCTTTAAACCCAAATTTTTTGGGTAAGCGTGACATTCTAAAGCTACTTGAAGAAGCATCACAGGCCAGCAATTCTGCCAGAAAACCCGTTTATCCTCCTGGTCGCCCCCGCCTACTCGCCTCCGCTTACTCGCCCTTATCAATTATTTAAAGAAGGAAAATAACATTTGCATTCTGGATATCGATGACAGTGTCAAACTGATAAACAACAGTGTAGCTTAAGCTATAATGGCGTGTGGGCTTCATGGTTAATTAATATATGTTAAGTTTTTGATTTCAAAAACAGGCCTGCGGCAGCACGAGGCTTTTTCAAAGCGCAGCGTACCGAACCATAGTGCAGGTCAAAAATTTACCGCAGCGCAGCGAAGGACAAAATTTTTACCGAAACGGAGGTTTGGTTTGAAAAAGGCTCGTTTTTTTTTAAAAAAACACCAATCCCCGCTAATGTCTTCAGGTTTCGAAAGACATTTCAGATAAATGTAAGGTGTCTTGGGTGAAATTGGTAATATTAAAACAAAAGAATGAATGCTACAATCAACTACAATAACAGATCAAATCACTTGAAAAGTTGTTATGCTTTCGGTAATCCGTTAATTATATCGAGGTCCCTGTGTACTAAATTGTAGGTAAATCAAGCTCAACCATGTCACAGTAACATCTCCCTAGTTAGGCATTGTGTAACCTATTTACAAATAAATGATTTTTCAGCGAATTTAAGTTATGTAACAATATAGCAGAACATAAAATATTGATCTATTAATATTAGAATGTTTTGGGGATTAATTTTTATTGAGTTAAAAAGTAAAGGCCCCTCACAAGCACACAAAAAATTTTTTTAATGGTCCAAATATAGGACTTTTTTTTCGTTGTCCGTTTTTTTTTTTTTTTGGTGAAATGTTACATCAGATTCCATTTTGAATGATTAAAAAATTAATGTTACAAAAAGAGATAATTATAAAAAAGGTCGAAAAATTTTCAGTGCAAAAAAAAAGGAATTATCCAAATAAAGGATTAAAATCTGACAGTACCAAAAACCTGTCATGAACCGCTTAGGTTTCAGTTGTATATTATCATGCAAAATGTCTCAGATCATTATTGAAACCCAACTAGCCCATTGTCCCTGTTCCACCTGTTCCACATGTTCCCTGTTCTATGTCTCCTGTCACACATGTCACTGTCAAACATCACTATTGTATCCTGTCTAACGTCTCTGTTCCAAATAATGTATCTCCGTTATCCCTTGTCCTTGTCAAACCCATTTAACACCCGTTTCCTTTGTACCTCTGCCTTTGAACTCCCTTGTAAAACATTAATAATATCAGCCCATGTTATCCTCTGCATCTATCCCCGAAATTATCTGTATCTATGCCCGCTTCCCCAAAGATGTCCCAAACTCAATATGACTAATAATCTGTCTCTGTATATCTGATCCCCGAACCCTTGTTTACCCGACCTGTCAATTAATATAAATAACAGCATGTTTATTTATTCTTATTTCTGTATTCAAGATCTTATCTATTTTTCCTGTTTCTTTGAATAAACCTTTTTTCTACCTACATTCCTTTATATATATATTAGTACTAATAGATATATAATTTCTCTTTGCCTTGTCCCTCACCTTAATAATCATTCTGTTCTGCTCTTGCCCCGCCCCGCTCCTGACAAAACCCTTCTATTATTTGAAAAAAAACCCAAAACGGACTACTGAATTCACGATAATGTTTTTTTTTCTAAAATAAATTTTTATTTGCAACCCCTTCACGTTTTTTCTCTCTCTCTATCCTTTTTATCATCCAATTTAAACAAAAAATGAGTTTCCAAAATTACACCAGCGAAAACTTTGTCAACGGTTTTAACGGCAACACCCAAAGGGGTCGACCCAGAGCCAACAGACCAGCACCTGCCAGACCTGATGTACCTGTCACATCAAATGCTGCCCCGGTACCTACTACCCCTGCTACCCCTACCACTGCTTCTACAGCTCCTACTCCTCCTACTCCTCCCAATCCTCCTACTAACCCCACTCCTCCTACTAACCCCACTCCTCCTACTAACCCCACTCCTCCTACTAACCCCACTGCTCCCACCGATGCAAACTTACCTGCTTCTTCTGAAGCACCTGTTTCTTCTGGAGCAGCTCCAGCAACTCCTTCCGAGTCTGCTTCTTCTGATGGCGCAACTCGTCAATCATCTACTGGCAGAAACTGGGACACACCTAGCACGTACGTTTTGATTGAGTTGTTTAGAGACTATGCCATGCAAATAACCAACACCTCGTCTACTGAGGAAAAGGCCGCACTTGACGCTGCAGTTTTGAGAAACTTTAACGATCATGAAGCTGTCAATATTACCAGGAGTCTTAGCTCGATGAAGAACAAGTGGAGTGATATGATTGCATCCTACAGAGAAAAACGAGATGCAGCTAGAACTACTGGTAGTGCTCCTCTTCCGCACTGGGAGTTTTATGATGCCATGGAAGATGCAACGACCCGTATAGCAATGGTCAACCCACACGTGCTATATAGTTCACTTTCGGGTGAAACTGTTGATAATCGTGAGCAACACACCTCTGGTAGACGTAGACGATTCACAGTAGACGATGATGATGATGTGGAGGAGCCTGTGACTAGACGACCTCGAAACGCTGATGTGTCTGTCTGGTTTATGGCAAACCGTATGGAAGAAATTGACGAAAGAAATCGTCAAGAGAGAGCTGATGATCGTCGGTTTCATCGAGAGCAAATCCAGTTGAATAACCGTCTAAGACGTGAAAATTCGGAGATGTTGAGAGAAGCTACTTCGGCTATGACTAGAATGGCCGAATTGTTTGCTTTATCTCTTGCAAATAATAACCCCCCTCCTACCTCTTCCCCTTCCACCACCAATACTAGCGACAACAACAACAACCCTTCCCCTCCTTCCTCTAATGATAATAACATTTAATTTTTTTTTTATATAAATAAAGTTTTTTTTATACTTCCCTTGTTCTGTTTCTGTAGTTTGTTCTGGTACGGATCAAGCTAGTAAGGGATTCGGTTCGTCTATCATTTCCATTTATATCCGAATTTCCCTCTTCTGTACCAACAGCACCACGGATATTTTCCAGAACAACATCTGTAAAGCCAGGATCACGAAGATCAATACACATATTGTGCAAGATGCAGGCTGAAGTAATAACCTCATTGATTGACAGCTGATCTAAGAGGTAGATATATCGACCAGTAAATCTCCAACGAGCCACCAGTACACCAAACGCTCTTTCAATAGTCATTCTTGTGGCCGAATGTACATGGTTGAATGTACGTTTATTGCTGTCAACCAAACATTGACTTTCCGGGAAGGGTGTAATTAAATTGGGACCCAAAGGATATGCAGAGTCACCAACCAAAAACGTACGACCAGGGAAGTAGGTCTCAGGGTTCGCAAGAATGGTTCTAAAGAGATCACTCGAGGTGAATGCGGCTGCATCATGTGTTCTTCCTGATAGATTAATACATATTAGCATATTTGTATTTTTTAGGTTTTTGGCTTTGGTTACAATACCTGAATCACCTACTGTCAGGAACGAGGGAGGAACGAGACAGGCAGGACAGGACAGAGAATGAATAGCTTCTTGAAGCAGGTTATTTATTTAAGAATAAAAGGGAGGAAAGAAGAGAAGATGATTATGAAATATATCTGATAAAGAAAACTGGGAGAAGTGAAATTTATCAGCTATATTTATAGAGAAAGAAAACAAGAAATTAAATAAAAGAATAAGCAATGACAAAAGTTAGTCATAGCTTATGTGGATCATGACAAAGGATTTAAAGAGCTGACAGATCAATGATGAATATTGAGTCTGAAAGCTGGTTACTCATATTGCATATTTGGGGCATAAAATGTAACAGGATCATGACAGTAGGTGTTTCAGACATATTTTTTTCAGGCATAGAGTTTGGAGGCATAGGTTTTGGAGGCATATAGTTTGGAAGCGTAAAGTTTGGAGGCATAAAGTTTGGAGGCGTATAGTTCGGAGGCATAGAGTTTGGAAGCATAAGATTTTGTAGCATAGAGTTTTGTGGCATAAGTTTCTGTGGCATAAAGTTAGATGGGACAGAAGAAGGGGGTGGAAGAAGAAAATAAGGAACCATAGATTTTTGAGTTCTAGGTTTTAGCAGCATAGAGGTTTTTTTATATCTAGGGGATGAAGGTGTACTGTTTTTCATATGTATTTGGTTAGTATCGTCTCTGAATGTCTGGTTTGGAAATTGTAAGAAATCGGTTGCTTTTCCAAGTGAAATTTTTTGCTGAGATTTCCGAATCAGTTCTGTTGCTGTATCAACTGTTTCTTTATTTAGAAGAACAGAATTGAAGTATCTGCTTTGATTTTCTCTTTCCTTGAAATATTGACGCAAATTTTCGGGCAGCTTATAGAATATGTTTTTAGTTATACCCTTGTTACACTCTCGAGACCATAAAATGGTAAAATCCTGCCAACATTGTTCGGATACGGCTTGACTAACGAGAGACAGATTGTGTTTTCTTAGTTGTTCATATAATTTTACTTCCTCATCTGTGTGAATTGGTGTAACTGCATAAGAAGTGCCTTGCACATAATATAGGTATTGACGTTGTAGGCCACCAAAAATTGATTAGCTCTTATTTGTGCATTGTGTCGTAGCACTTACACATAAAACTATTTTTTCTTTGACAGAGAGACTTCTATGAAGATTTCCATTGTCAAATTCTCTCGTAGAGTGCATCTGCTTTTTGGTGGTACCAAAAAAAAAATTTAAGCAGAGACAAATAATTAGTTGGGTCAAACACATTTTCCTTATAATTAATATCCCATCTGAAAGGTTAGGATTGTTTTTAATGTTGATTAAAATGAGAATCTACATATATCAAATTAAAAAACATAACAGATTCTGGATTCAACTTTTTTTTTTTAGGTGGGGGCGGGGGAAAAATGTCACAACCTGTACAAAAAAGTTTTTAGGCCAATAATAACCTGCCGCTAATATCATTAGCCGTGGTCGGATTTTGAAATAACCCACTGTTTGTGCCCACGGATTTAAAAAACCGCGGACAGACTATATAATCTTTAGCAATGGCTTGAAATAACTTCAACCTTTTTTGTGTACTTAATAGAACTACTTGAATTTTAAAATATACATTAAAACAAGGCTAATTATACGCGCACCATACTTTTTGCTTGAAAAAAAAATCTCGCGCACCATTTTTTTCTGTCCGGTCAAATAATAAAATTCCGGGTCGGACCAAAAATGATTTTTGCACATTGGACTTTTTCTTGCGCACCATGCTTTTTTCGCTGGCGCACCATACATTTTTTCGCTGGCGCACCATACATTTTTTCGCTGGCGCACCATAGTTTTTTTCGCTGGCGCACCATAGTTTTTCGCTGGCGCACCATAGTTTTTTTCGCTGGCGGACTATACTTTTTTCGCTGGCGCACCACACTTTTTCGCGCACCATACTTTTTCTCGCGCACCATTCTTGTTTACGGCTCTTCATTCTTTTTCTTTTAACTTTTATTTTTGAAATGAATTCAAACAATTCACAACAATCTTTGAGTGAAAGCCAATTGCTCATCAATAGTCTTTTATCTGTTATCAATCCTGTAGACGAAATCAAGAACAGTTTCGAGGATGCCTTTGATAGACAACTTTATGAACAGTCAAACACTGATGAAAAAGTGACAGTAGAGGAATACGACTGGGAATGTCTCAGTGAACCTGAGATGGAGGACATTAGCGTCAAGGCAACACGACACGTTCCATCTTTTGCTGAGACTGTGTCGGTCAATGAACGTGTTGCCAATGTAAAGGCTATTTTTGAAGCCGAGTTTCCTGTTGGAAAAGCCTTTGCTGACAAGGAAACTGCAAGACTCGAAATACAGTCTTTCAGTAAGGCTAACAATATTCCTTTTGAGACTTTTAAAAGCGATAAGTCTTACATCAAAATGATCTGTAAGCATTTTGGTAAATATCGTGCTGCCAAAAAGGGAGAAGGTAGGATTGACACAATTGCGATATTTATTGATATAATTATTTAACGTTGTTTTTGAAACCAGATAAAAAGGATGCCGTTGATGATGATGAATTGGAAAACAGCATTCAAAGACCCAACAGGACCACCGGGAGAACAGGCTGTTCAGCCTTCATCTACATTCGTAAGGATGTAAAATTAGCTGGAGAGCCTTGGACTGTTCGATCCAGCTGTTTCGAACACAACCATCCTTTGAGCGAGGATAAGAGGGCTTATCACAGCAACCGAAAGCTCAATGCGGATGATCAAGAGTTCGCCATTTCGCTTATGCGTGGAGGTACAACTCCCAGTGAAACGTTAAAGGTAATGTTTAAAATGAGATAAAGAGATCCTTTGAGAAATCAATAGTTAGGAAAGCTGTAATCATAATAAAAGTTATTTTGCCAATATTATTCTTTATAAGTCTAAATATGTCCCCAATTTATATCTTAAAATAACATCAATTTCCTGGTAATTAGATGCTTGAAACAAGAGGCGTAAGCAACCTGATTGTAACCGATTTAACAAACATCCAACAACAATTCTGTCGGGACAGCCACATTGACATGTGGAATTTTGTCAAGAATCTTGAATCAAGTGGCCACCAAGTTCGATTTTTGACAGATGCTGATGAGAGAATTTGCAGCGTCTTTTTCATTCACCCACATGGAATCGACGAAGCTAGAAAGCTTTGAGAATGTATAATTGTGGATGCCACCTACAAGACCAACTCACATAAGATGGTCTTGTTCAATTTCGTTGTCGCTGGTACTTTAAGATCAAAAGAAAAGCCAAAGCAGTTGACAACAGTTCCAATTGCAGGATGTTGGATGGATCGGGAGACAAGCGAGCGCTACTGCTGGGCTTTAAACTGTTTCCGTGATATTGTTTGGCCTACTGGAACAAGCACTGATAAATTGCGCAAGTGCTTTGTTACTGACAACGATGAAGCCTTGTTGGGAGCAATCAAGTCCGAGTTTCCCGAGAGTAAACAAATTCTTTGCTGGATTCATATCCAAAGAAATTTTATTCTGAGATTCAAGAAGAATCTTGCCAAGGAAAAGAGACTGGATAGTATGTTAAAACAAGTTACGTTCATTAGTCCTCATAAACTTACCAAATAAACACCTTATAGAGAACAAAATGGAGATGGAGGTCAAATCGTTTATGGCTATCATCAAGCAAATGGCTTTAAAATGCACAACAAAGGATGAATTTTTGCTTGCCAAAAATGAATACGAAACGTTCGTGTCTGCCAAGGGCAAATGTGTACAAGGTGGTGCCCAAACGATGATTAAGTATCTGCATCAGTAGGTTTTTTTGTTTTGTTTTTTTCTCTTAAAAATGCCTCTTTCCCTCTTTTTATTAACTAGATACAAATATAGTATGATGAAAAAGAAGCAATACTGCGTAGGTTATTATGTTAACAATTTAATGCATATGGGAAACAGAACTTCGAACAGAGTTGAGTCTACCCATGCAAATATCAAAAGAAGCAACAGCACCTCATCTGGTAGCATGGCAGTTGTCACTGAAAAAATAGATCTTTGGATTAAAAAGAGAGTACGCAATGTTTAAACATATTTTTATTTTGTTAGTTAACTCTAAAAAAAATTAGGAGGATTATCAAAATGTACAATCAATCAAGGAATCCATGACACAAAGAACAATTTTTTTGGAAGATGATGTAATGGATAAACTTGCTCTGATCAAATTAAATGTTTCAAGCTTTGCTTTTGAAAATATCAAGAATGAATTAGTGGAAATAAAGGCTGCTGAATAAAAGCCTGACCATGTAAGCCATGTGCGCCCTGGAGAAAGCTGTCTCTGCAAGCTCAGAAAAAACTTTCGACTTCCTTGCAGACATGTTCTTGCGGTCTCGTTTGTTGAGAATAAAGTTCCTCTGGACATTGTTCACGAACGATGGAGAATCACATATGTGAAGGGAACTGGTAAAAAATTAATATACAAACTGAATTAGACTGAAATCAAAATTAATACTTTTCATAGTCGCCACAATTGCTGAAATTTCCGCTGAGATGAGCAAAAAGTCTAATGAAACATTGCCTATTGATACCAGTGCTATCCAACTTAGGTTGGAAAAGCTTCTATCATTAAGCAATGTCTTAGGTAATCAGCAAGAATCAGCCGATCTTATCAAAGATATGGATGCTTTGATCCAAAAATATTCGGTAGACCGTCTGGAAACTGTTCTTGCCCCTTCAATTGTTGAAATACAAATGGGCCGACCTAAAGGGACAAAAAGAAACAAGCTTGGTGTGGAGCATGAAGATGAAAAAATCTCGATAGAGCAAAAAAATGCCAAAAAAACGAAGCAGGAAACAATAAAAGTAGAAAAGCAAAAAAAAACCAAAACGACCTTAAGTCTTCGCAAGCCGTCAACAGCCGTGATCAAGCAGATCAAATCAAAGTATTGGTCTATGTTATATTTTTAATTATTTTACAACAATAACACCTATTTGGTTTTCTAGATACGAGCCTTCCACTGTCATAACTCGTGAAGCAGATTACAGTGGTCTGTTTGGATTGCTAGATAATGCATGGGTCAATGATGTACTTGGGTTCGTCAACCCCCATCCTGATGGTAATTGTGGATACCGTGCTGTAAGCCTCGCTGTTTTTGACAATGAAATCGCTTGGATCCAAGTGAAAAAAATGATGTTAGCTACCTTTACAAAGTATGCTAACACTCTTTACAACACATATGGGCTAAACGAAGCGTATACCTCAAAAAAATTGCAATCAACAAGAGCTCCCTGTCTTGATGACTTAAGTCTTTGGTTTGACTGTTACGGATGCCCACAAATTGTTGCTGACACTTTCAAAAGACCAGTAATTTTACATGCTACAACACCGAAAGTCGACAAGTATGAAATCACGTGGAGAGATAATGATGGAAGCATCATATACACCAAAGATTCAATCACTTTTGTACCACTTCTTGGTCTGGATTTGGAAACAATGAATGATCCTATTCAACTTTTGTTTGCCAACAGTCATTTTTATATGATTTTACCTCAAATCGACAACAAAACGAAGAAAGCTTTTAAAGTCAAGAAATGGCCAACATTAAACTTTTCACACCAAAAAGTATTCGACGCGCACCGAGACATTTGTGTCAACGACGTGTCTCACTACTTTCAAAACAACTAGACAGGATAATTTTATAATTTGCTTCCCCAATCCTTAACATTCTCCCAAACTTTATATTTTATCTCATAATAATCAAAACCCAAAAACAAAATAAAATTTAGACTAAAAGCATGAGCTCACACTCAAAACCACATTGATTCTCTTCATCACAAAGTATGGTGCGCCAGCGAAAAAAAATATAGTCCGCCAGCGAAAAAAAACTATGGTGCGCCAGCGAAAAATTATGGTGCGCCAGCGGAAAAAGCATGGTGCGCCAGCGAAAAAAACTATGGTGCGCCAGCGAAAAAATGTATGGTGCGCCAGCGAAAAAAAACTATGGTGCGCCAGCGAAAAATTATGGTGCGCCAGCGGAAAAAGCATGGTGCGCCAGCGAAAAAAGCATGGTGCGTAAGA